AAAAACATTAAAATCTGGTAGCAGACAATATGAATGGGACTGATGTCTGACAGCTCTGCTCAGTGTGATGACTCTTTTAGCCACTGACACAGGGAAAGTTTTAGCTTAGTTTTAGCAGCACATCACTGGATACAGTCATCATCTCATTCTGCAAATATAGGATTGGCATCTCAGCTAAATGGCAGGTGTTACTGCATTGTTCTTCCTTCACAAAAATGACTATCTTAGAGGTCTGTTTTAAGTCCATGTTTTTCAGTCTTGCCTTTTCCGTGCACCATATTAAAAGGACCTTATTTTTATCCTGTGAGAATCCTGATGCTTCTATCCATGTTTTATGGATGTACAATCCTAAAATATATCTTCTATTTAACACGAAACACATCATTTAAGAGAATATGTATTTCAGTCAGTGTGCCCCAAACCAGAACAAATGTCTTGACAATCTATCTTCTTCTGCACTAAGAAATATACAGTACATAAACAAGTGTGGGTGATGGATCCAATGAAAACACACTCAGTTAAAATTTCAATGTAATTATGACAACTTACAATAAATTACAATATATTTTTGTTCATATCAGATCAAATACATTTAGGTACAAAGACATAAATTACACTATTGATAAATAAACAGATAAGACTTCAGAGGTGAATGAACCATCACTTTCAAACAGAAACACTCAATGGCAGATACAAGATACATTGTTTTTCATTCCACAGCTTATTAAAGATCCATTGCCTGTGTAATTCTTTGTCAATTATACATTTCAATATTGGGTTCATATAGTGCATTTGTGATCATTACTATTATTAATACTTACAGTGAGATCAAATTGAGTAGGTGCATTACATTACACTCAACAATGCCTTGAGTCACATAACAGAGTAACAGAATTTATGATTGAGATATTTCACATCAGCAGCATATCTCCCAAAGTGTAGATTGTAACCAAACTGTGCTCAGCTTTTTAAATCCAACACACTTGCTTCTGATTGGCTGTCAGATCCATTCAAAAAACAGAACTCACTCAAGACAACACCTCCAGCCATCAGTTTAACTACTGATCTGCATGTGCGCAACTGGAGGTAACCATAGCAACAGTGCTTTTGCTTTGCACTACATTACGAATTAACTCTAACTTGTCAAACAGACCTAAGTATGGGTTAATGCTTACTGACAACAAACACTTTAAATAATGGATGACAGTTTGAACACAGCTTCTACTTTTGCCTGTGACATATGGCCATGGTATAAGCCTGATGATTCACTCGGAGGTGTCCTGATGTACAAAAAGAACAGACTTGAACGCTAAGCAGGGTGGTGTCCTGCAGCCATTATTTTCATGTATCAACATGTATCATCAGTTACATCGCCAAGCCTCTATAAGCATGAGGAGAAACAAGACCAAAGTTTAAATCCATGTTACGAGCCATTATGCATCAAGCCAGTATCAAGCAATATCCAGTGACTTTACAGAGGACATGCTGACCATTTATCAAAAACAGTCACTACATGTTATTTAGTCCACTTCATTAAACAGTGCTGTCACGATCAATTCTACTGACTGGATCTGTCCTGCAGTGGATGTGACATACAGATGTGCATGTCCAAGTTTGGAGTGTGAATACTTTTTTTATGAACCATGGCAGCAGTTGTCAAGTGATGACAGGTCTTCTGAGTGGTAGTTACTGTAACAGTACTGTACAGGTGAATGTCCTTGTGATGTGTGTTATTGTGCAGTCATTACTCTCCCCAGCTGTGCTCTCTCAGAAGCCTTGTATATGGCAATAAGCCTCCAAGCTGGAGAACAGGACGTAGAGGAACCAGAGTCCAAAGAATAGCAGTGAAGTGAGGACTTTGGTGATCCGCGGGCCTCCGAGTTCGCCGCCTACAGACGGCCTTCGGCGTAGCATCAGCATTCCCATGCTTAAAAAGGCAAAAATAGTGAAGAGTGTGACGGAGAAGGCCAGCGAGCCGGGGTCCACACGGAAGACCTTACCTTTGACTTGCCAATATACGGCAGCCACGGACCAGGCCAGCCCAATGCCCAAAAACACATTAACAGCGTTGCTTCCTGTCACATTCCCAATACATGCATCCGCGTACTGGTCCTGAGTGGCAGCCACCTTACTGGCAAAGGTATCTGGAAAAAAGAGTGAAGTTAGAAAATCAAGTTTAAACCAACACAATGCCATTTAAAGGCTTCTGAACTGACTTAAACTTTTCCATTACTGTTTGTGCCTCCCAGTTGGGGATTTACTGTATATTACACAAAAACTCACTAGTAAAATCACTTACCAGGAAGTGAAGTCCCCAGTGCCACAAAGACCACCGCAGTGACAGTGTCTTTAAGGCCGACGGTGCAGCCAAAATGGGAGGCAAGGTCTCCGATAAGGGCTGTTAAGAAACCAATGGCACAGATTGACACTATGAAGCATGCCCAGCCGTTCCAGTACTCAGTGGGTGGGATGCAAGCAAACACAATCTTCCAGAAAATGCACATAATGTGCATGAAATAGTCGAAGCAGTTCGGCATTCGCTGCTCCTGTCCCTCCTCCTCATCTCCATCGCCTGTTTAAAGAAGACACAGAGGAGATCAATCAAACACTGTATACAGATACATGTCATCATCCACAACTGTTCAATCACATTTGGGGCCAATCTGTAACCAAGAAAGTTGTAACATTATAGTTAATGTATTAGTGTAATGGGAAAAAATCTAGGGCTGCACAATATGGTAAAAAAATTGACAGCGATATGATTTGTGATTAGTGATAATTATAATTTTTGCATCACAAATTTTCATTTTCACAAAAAAAAACTGAAAACTATGAAACAAAGATGTGACATTTGTTGGGGTCTGTACCAAAAAACATATTTTCTTAAATCTGGAAAACAAGATTTGTAGGCCAGGGAATCTCTGCAGTTCTACAGTACTTCATTATAATGCTGTTGTCACACAGTTTAGCTGATCAAAGACTTGCAGCTTCTGCAAGTTGGATATTGCACTTGGCCATATTGCAATTTTGATAATATTTTGATTAATTGTGCGGACCTAAAAAACATTTTCATAATTGTTCCTGTAGTAGTAGCTTTATATTTAACAGGCAGACATGAGAGTTGTATTCATCTTCTCATCTAACCAATAAGCACATCAGTCTCTGGACTTTTTAAGACTCGGTCCAGCAGACACCGTCAGTCTACACAAAATACAAACATAGCATATAAAGTACACAAAAAACAAACATATAATAACCACTGACCTGCACTGACTGTGACTGCTTCAATGAACTGCTCCCTCCATGAATGAGTGCCAATCACTGAAGCCAGATTTGTGTCCTTCAGCAGTTTGTCCACTGTGTTCTGTTACAATACATTATAAAGGTCAGTAATGAGACGGAGGTAGTCATAGCTCATAGTAATATACACAGAACATATGAGTTCACATTTCACATTAAGTTGTAAAACATTGTTTTAGTCTCTTTTTAAAACAAATGTATTTATTCTTTCTTGTCTGCAGCCAAGGGCTATAGATGTTGGATACAACACAAAAAACTATTTATGGTGTCATAGGCCAGTTGAGTAGGCCCAGTATGTTATCCAATATGGCAAATATTAAAAGTACACACACAAAAACACAGGCTTCACTGTTTTGCTGTAGAATTTGAATTAAATTTAGAATTTACTGACCCAAACATTTTACACACAGCACACAAAACACAGAACAACAGATAGATACACAGATACAAACACATTGCCTCAGTGCATCTCAAATCAACATGCATGTAATGCACGAGAAAAGAAAAAGTCTAGCTGTGAATATACCATATTTTTCACATGACTTAATAATAAAATGATATAGAAAAAGTCCCATCACACACACAGCATGCTTGCAGAAACTATACCTGGTCTATTACTCCATTGGGAGTCTGATATGTAAGAAGGTGCAAGGTGGTTAATGAATTAAAAAACATATACTTTAAATTAACAAACATATGTCAATTTACACAAACAGCTGTTAATCCTGCCTCATGCAGATAGTAGCGTACTTCACAGATATTGAGTCTTGCAGTTGTGATAATAGGATAAAACTTGCCATTAAGTTAACAATAAAAAAGGCTCTGGTTGATATTTCCTGATAAACTGAATCAGAAATATACTTGTCTGTCCCTTGTAATCAGGGATCTGTTTGTAGTAAAGCAACTCACACACCTTAAACTCACAGGACTCCTCTATGATGACCTCTAGCCTGCTGTGCTCCCCTAGAATGGGTTTGCCCATCTCAGAGATCCTCCGGGCCTCTTCTTCCTCAGGGCTGGGGTTACCTGTTAGGGAGCACCGACAATTAATTATAATTTCTGTAATTTATTGTATCGTTTACAAAACACACACACACACACACACACACACACACACACACACACACAAACATCCTAAACC